GCCAGGGCAGCCAGAGGGAAGCCCTGGACTCCCACAGAATTTTTACTTGAATAAAACACAGAAATAAATAAAACTTCTTCCCAACAAGCTTTGAAGAAAATGCCTGTCCTGTGCTGTGTGGCGGTTGATAGAGCATTGACTGGCCAGGATTTTTCCTGCTTTGCTTTCCATCCGTTCTATCCACCCAAAGCAGCCCAGATGAGATAAGAGCACAGATTTGATTCCTGATCAGCACAGAGATATGAAGACATTTATCAGGGAAAGCCCCACCAAAAATAAAGGATTGCTCTGATATTGTCCAACCTGTTATTATTTTACAGATGAGTGGGAAATGCAGTTTATTCTGTAGGAACATTTTTCTACAATGCACCCAATATCGAGGGGAAATAATTTCATAACACCAAAAAAATCCCAACCAAAACCTGCTCAGGACACCGTTTCTGGAATATTTTGGACCAAACTTTCTTAGCCTAAGGTACCAACGCTTGCAGTTGTACCCTGACTCTTTTGGGAAAGATTAATAAATGGAGCATGCTGCCCAGCTGCCCATAATTCTTTTTTTTTTTTTTTTTTTTTTTTTTTGGGATTTTTTTAGAAATAAATGGACTTTCTAAAGTGTTTCAGTAAAATATAGCTCTGTCAGCCTTAGGAAAGTTATTTTGGAAAAAAACATAATAAGGTGTTTAAATATAGAGAAAAATCACTTGATAAGATCTGTTTCTCTCCTTACTGTAAGAAATACAATTTTTTAAAGGTATTTAGAGCCTGATTTGTGGCTATCTCACCTCCTCACCCTTTCTCCCCTGGGTGTCCTTATCTTTTGTGAGGATGATAAAAGCTTCACCTGCCACAGCTCCATCCTCTTTAAGCTCAGCCTTGAGGTTAATCCATTGTAGGCCCAGTTCATAAAAAGGGTTTTACCTCTCTCTTTCCTAAAAGAGAGTCCAAGACATAATCCAATTATCAACAGTATATGGCTGTTATATCTGAAGACTTTCAGTTTTGTGGGAAATAATTTTTGAATGGTGTTAATGTCAGGGACAACCAAGTTTCCTATGAAGAAAAACAGGATTTATTTAAAAATAGGATTTAAAAACTGTCCCCAAAAAAGGGTGATTTTTGCTGTCTCTTCTGAAGTAAAAACATTGATAAAAATGTCTTTCCGTTTTATTTCTTCAAGCAGAAAAACAGCAATAAAAAAAAACTGCTGCTTTTCCTATTATAACAAATTCAAGGTTTCATGAATCAGTTTGAAATAATAAATTAAAAATAAAAAAAATCTCACACCCAGGCATTAAACCCAAATAAGAACATGCTATGTTATTTTCAAACCTGTTCTTGTCAAATCCAATGTCAATTAAACCTCAATATATGAATATAAGAACCTTAATTTCAGAAACATGAACATTAATTTCAGAAACAAGGAAAACTTGTTTCCCTTTGCTTGTTGGTGCGTGTGCACATTCCTTCTGTTGGAAGTTAATTGCAATTATTGTGAGTTGTGGAGCAGTTTGGGGGTGCTGAGCCAGCTCCGTACCTCTCTGTAAATTCCCTTTTTTCCAGGTGCAGCATCTGTTGCTAAGCTCTAAATACACAACAAAAATTTCAGGTAACGCTTTCTCATCCATGGCAAGGATTAATTTGTTTTCACGTTCCAGAATCTCTCCTGTTATTTAAAACACCAGCTGACTGCATTGCTAATCTTGCAGTTGACAATTGGCCTTCCTCCCCTCTGGGAATGCAAAAATTCTTCTTGCAAGCAGCTCTAATCCCAGCCAAAACTTCTCAAAAAATGGGAGTTGTCCTGCTCCTTCTGCTCTGAAAAAAATAAGTGAATGAATGAATGAATAAATAAATAAATAAATAAATAAAACAGTAGGACCTTAAAAAAATTAATTAATAAAACAGTAGGAACTTAAAATTAAAAAAAAAAGTAAGACCTATAAATAAATAAATAAATAAATAAATAAATAAACAAAACAGTAGGACCTTAAAAAAAATTAATTAATGAAACAGTAGGAACTTAAAATTAAAAAAAAAAGTAAGACCTATAAATAAATAAATAAATAAATAAATAAATAAATAAATAAATAAACAGGGCCTTAAAATAAACTAACAAATAAATATATAAATAAATACATGAAGCAGGAGGACCTTAAAATAAACAAACAAAAATATGTAAATAAATGAAACAGTAGGACCTTTAAACAAACAAATTAATTAATGAAACAGTAGGACCTTAAAATAAAAAAATAAATAAATATAGAAATAAAAAATGAAACAGTAGGACCTTTAAATTAAATAAACAAATAAATGAAAGAATAGGACCTTAAAATCAAAAAATAATATGGCCTTTAAATAAATAAATAAAACAGTATGACCTTTAAATAAATAAATAAATAAATGGAACTATAGGACCTTAAGATTAATAAATAAATAAGACAGTAGGACTTTAAAATAAACAAACAAATATATCAATAAAACAGTAGGACCTTAAATATGTAAATAAAGCAATAGGTCTGTACAATCTGATCCTTAGCACTTAAAATATGGTTTTCCTTCCAATGGAAAAGTTAAAATTCTCTCCTGTGATGAGGAAGGAAGGAAGTGCAGTGGAAGCACAAGGGAGGAAGGAGTTTCCAGAGCTGGTTGGTACCTGCAGCAGCTTCTCGATTCAGTGGCTAATTGTTAATTCTGTGGTTAATTGCTAATTCGGTGGCTAATTGCTCAGCATCACGTCCTGCCACACGCTCACCCAGGGCTCCCCGTGGCCCAGCTCCCTTCCCCAGCAGCCCTGCCATCGTTGCAGGTGCCAGCTGCAGCCCCAGCAGCCTCCAGCACCTGCAGGGCGCTCAGCTGCTTCCCCTGCACCCCACAGCCCCAAACCCGCCTGGAAACTCATCCCTGTGCCACCTCTTGTCACCTGGCCCTGGAGGAGGACGCACAGCCAGCCTCAGTCCCTCCTGGGTGGCACCTGGAGGGAGCAGCACCTCACCGAATTCACAGAATTCACAGAATTCACAGAATCACAGAATTCACAGAATCACAGAATTCACAGAATCACAGATTTCACAGTCACTGGGTTGGAAGAGACCTTCAGGATCATCGAGTCCAACCCAGCCCCAACAGCTCAACTCAACCCTGGCACCCAGAGCCACATCCAGGCTTTGTTAAACACACCCAGGGATGGTGACTCCACCACCTCCCTGGGCAGCCACTCCAGAACTTCATCACTCTATTCCGGAACTTTATCGCTCTTTCCATGAGAAACTTTTTCCTAATATCCAACCTAAATTTCCCTTGGTGCAGCTTGAGGCTGTGTCCTCTGGTTCTGTCAGTTCCTGGAGAAAGAGCCCAGTCCCACCTGGCCACAGGCACTCTTCAGGAGCTCTGGAGAGTGACAATGTCACCCCTGAGTCTCCTTTTCTCCAGGCTGAGCCCCCCCAGGTCCCTCAGTTGTTCCTTGTTGCCCTGATTCTTAGGATTTCCTCAAGCCTTCTGAGTTTACATTCTTGTAGAGAACTTTCTCACACAACTTTCTGTAAACAACCTATTTACCATTCCTCCATGGAGGCAGAGAAATTTGATGTACTGGTAGTTTGTCCAGTGTCTTTGGAGAGGTGGCTCATTCACCCTCCAATCCACTGTCACCTTTGGAAAAGTAGAAATGCTGGAGTCAGAAAATAAACTTTCTCTTTTTCACCTTTGCAATAGCAGCAGCACACATCGTGCTTTCACGTGTCCTGTAGCGACAGTTCCTCACAGGGTTTGTGTTCCCAGCCCCTCTCCAGCCTCGTTGTCCCCTCTGGACACGTCTCAAGGTCCTTCCCAAAGTGAGGGCAGAGCTGGACACGCACTGGAGGTGTGCCCTGGCCAGGGCAGCAGTGACCTCCCTGCCCTGCTGGCAGTCCCTGTGGGACTCACCTCGGTGACACCACCCCTGACCCGCTGCTGCCCTGCCATGAAAATTTAATTTAAAGTGTCATTTTCTCCCCATTATCGCGTGTGGAACGTTGTGTCCTCAGCCTGGCCAGCCAATCTATTTCATAAATTAGCCGTACTACAACTCTGCAAAACTTTGGGCTGGCTCTGAGGGTTTTGGGGCTGTTTCAAGGACAATTTCCGACAACATTTTCAAAGTCTGTGTTTTGCATCCCAAACATTAAAAACATTTCAAAGAAGCACCAGCTACAAGCATTGCAGGATTGCAGGTAAAGCAAGGCAGAAAAACCTTGCCACCTTGCTGAGCATCAGTGTGTTCAGAAAAATCTGGGAGTCTCTGTATGGCAATTTATGCTCCAGCAGCCACTGCATAGAAAAAGCTTTTGTATCCAATTTAAAAACATGAATGTTCCCTCCTTACCCTAGAGCTTAAAGACAATTTACAGAAGTAGGGCACTATGAAGTATTGCCACAATAAACAGTTGTTTTACTTCCCTTTTACAGCAAAAATTAGGGGAACACTGCAACTCTTGTCAAGCCTTAAAATATGTTTGCAATAAAATAGAAGCCATTGGCTTTCTTTAATTTCAATGAGTTTCTTCATTATTCAAAAGCCTCTTTAAATCTTTCATAGATTCAAATCTGATTTTTTAAGAGGAAATACATAATCCTTTAGTAATTAATCAAAGTGTCTGGCTACTAAAAAATTGGGTATTGATGGTCCTCCTGTATTTTTCTCATGGAAGGAGAAAGTATTTTTATTCTTCAAAACTTGCTTATTGGTTCCTTTCTCTTGTCAGGAATTTGAATACATTACAAAATGCTTTTCTGGTAATACCCTTCCAGAATTAATGATGTAGCATCTTTTAACTGGTTATTATGAATTAATTAGAAATTCATCCTGGTAGCTGGAAATTTATTTGGATATGAAAGAAATTTCATAGAAAGTTGCTGTTTATTTACCCACATAAACGTTCCTTAGTAAAGGCTGAGGATACAGTGAGTTAATAAAGACAAGAATAATTATTTTTATATTTTCAATGAGTGAAAGGAATTCACTAGATACTAAATAATATCTAAATACTACACAGAGTAGCTCTGCAATAGCCAGGCTGGACTACTTTAATTAACAAGAAGCAACACTTCACTACATGATTACTCCCTCTGAAAACAACAGAAACAGAGGATTAATGTCCAGCAATGAGATGTATAAATTCAGATGTATAAATGTATAAACTCAGATCTTTGCACCCCCGGATTTCAGGAGTCTGAGTTTGGTAATTTGGGCACACCACAGACACCAGGGGATGCTGGATGTGGGGAAAGATTTCTCTCTTTGGAATAAAAATCAGTGAGTGGAATTACAGCTTCATCTGCTGCTTTTTGTGTGATAAGGGATGGACAGGAGATGTTTTCTGGCTGTGTGAATAAAAATAGTGGAGAGAACTGGGAATCTGAGAGAGGATTTAGGCAGAAAAGCCTGGTGCAGCTTACCCCAGTCACTGCAGAGTGAAGGAGAGCAAAATCTTTTCACATTCTGCAAACCCAGAGCTGGGTGGGCTTTGGGCACCAGACACTTCCAGGCTACCCTTGACAAGCTCAATTTCAAAGTGATGAAGACATTGAAGAGTTGTTGATGTCTTTGTATGAAGAATTAGCTTTAAACAGAGGGAGCAAGGGAAAAAAAGTCAAATAAGATAAAACCAGAAAAAAAATCTCAATATGGGAGTTGACAGATACTTGGATTTTAGTTAAGCATTTGACACTGTCTCATGAAATCTTAATTGAAAAATTAATTCAAGTCAGCTTGGCTGCAGAGTGGTGTGTGGGTTGAAAAATGGCTAAAGCACAAATGAAAAAAATGTTGATAAACAGCAAGATGGGTGGAAATGTCCAGTGGGGTAACACAACCTGATAGTTTGAGTTTACTTTATATCTTCATTAATGGCTTAGAAAAAAGGTACAGTCAAGATCACAATTAAATACGCAGTTTATGCCCATCCATAGATGGTTCTAAATAAGGGGAGTGAAATAAAAAAAGATTGACAGAAAACATGGATAAAAGATGGGCAAAATAGATTCATCAAAGGAAGAAAATTGTTTTACTGCAAAAACAAAACCAGCACAAGCCAGAGTAACTCAAAAGATGAACAAGAGTTTATCTTTTAAGGAATGGAAGAGTGGCAATGGATAAGAGAGCAGAAGAACACTATAGGAATTGTAAAAAATAAAATGCAAGTTGAGGATCCAGTGCCCTCTGCATCCAATGGAAGTGCAGCCATGGGCTTCAAAGGGGTTGGAGGTGGCTGGCAGCCCCAAAGCTGGGATTATCTGCAACCTTGTCCTGGCCACTGCACGCAGCCATAAGAGATGCTCTCCCAGAAAGATGTTACATTGGCAGCAAATCAGAGAGGAGGCAGAATAAAAAATGAAAGGGTTTTGTGAGAACTGAAGTGGGAAGAAAAACGAAGGGAATTAAGCAGTTATAATTTGGCCAAATAAGGAATAAGCAGGGACACAATTACAGCTTTCAAATGTCTGAGGACCTAAGCCTGTATAAAGGACAATAATTATTCACTCTGTTACGTGGCAGAAAGAGTTTAACAGGTGAAGGGAATATATTATGAGTAAAGAAAGACATTTGATGTAAATATCAGGAAATGCTGCATATTAAACTGTTGAATAATAGAGGAGATGGACGTCCTGTGGTCTGGGATTTCTGAAACTCAGATTGAATGCCAGCTATTGAAATGCAGAGTGGAACCTTTTCAATTCCCCAGGACACCAGGAAATGCATCTGCCTTGAAAATATTCGGATCTTCTCCCAACCTCTCCCTGTGCAAGCTCCATGTGGTTTCAAGCCCACACCAGGAGATGCAGAAATATCAGAGGATAAATTGTTCTTAATAAGGAATAAACACTCCTCATATCTTCTGATTGTGCAATCTGCTCCCACCCCTGTCTGACTGAGATCACAGGCTTTTCTCAAATCACAGCCTTTTCTCAAGCCAGTAGCTTCAAACTGCTTCGTTCTGCTCCGGCAAAAATAAAATGCTTTACTGGGTGGGAAATGGGGATATTCATAACAGCAACCCAAAGATTTATTAGCAGAGGACATTTTTTACCCCAATTTGTCTCAGAATACTCTTTATTTTCTGCTAGAAATACTGTCTAGAAGTGATATAAGACTTCTTTTCTGGAGTTTTTCTTCTCTGGCTTCATTATTTTCTTAGATCTGTAGATTCTAAAACTACAGACTACGCTAAAAACCAGTGGGGAATTTGTTTGTTTGCATGTGCCCACTCATTCACAGAGCTAAGAGTTTGACTAAAAATATTAATCAAAGAGAAAAAATACAAAAATCTGACTTTTATTCTATCACAGAGTCCATGATAGGGAAGGGAGCTATTTCTATTCAGAAATTCCTGCCTTTTTCCACCCCCTGCATTTTGGTTCCCCGCTCTCCACCAAACGTAGGAAGCAAAGACAAATTTCAGATGATAAATCAGGAAGACTTTTATTTTTTTTCCATTTCAGCATGAAAAAGGCAATTTTAAATACAGCTAGGTATTTGTAAACATGGGAAATGCCAGTTCTTGCTTGGTGTAAATGATCCCAAGTTTATTCATTTTGATTTGAGCATGACTATTTACACCAGGGGAAGATCCATACCCTGGGATATTTCAGTGTGTGGTAAATTACAGGACTTCACTCACTTTAGCACCAGTTTTAATGATCAATAATGAGTTTAGGCAACAATAAATCAGTTTTTAGAGTTTAGACACTGCTACAGTCTATGGTAGAAAACATTAAAAATACTTCTTGGCCCTTTCTGCCTGATTTGATACTAATGCACAATGAATTGTGGATTAAGGAAATGTTAGAGAAGGCTTTCCATGTCTTAGTGTAAATC